CGAAGGCAGTCAGAGGTGGGTGAGTAACAGTGCGAAAGAGGGTGACAGTGCTCTTACCCATCACCCCAGCATCTGCTTTTGATTTTAAATCCACCTCCGTGGAGCTCGCTAAGTAGGCTGATGGAAAAAGTTAATGAAGAAACATCCCGGGGTTGTTGCGACAAGATCTGACGAGGCTCTTGTGTTTGCGAATGGATCCTTTAAGGCTTAAAAGGGTGCTGTTAAAGTGTTTAGGTGTTAAATACGCACATAGGGCTCGTATCAGGGCTAAGGGACTTAACTCGGCAGGATCCCGTTCACATAGGAACTTGCCTGTGAGATGCAAATGAACCAGAAACGGAGATGACATAAATACAAAGTAACGTAGATAAGGGATCATACACTAATTACAACAAAAAGCACAATTAAGTTTCTTTAGGCTAAATTAAACCGAATTTAGCATCCTTTCAGGTGCCTCTTTAGTATTTTTCTTAGAGTTTAAAAACAGCCCCAAAACTTAAGGCTCGACAGCGTTAATTAGAGTAGTATTTCTAGGGAATGATGCTTTCCAGCCTCGGAACTGAGCGCTGTGTGCTGTTACTGCTTAGCAAAGGATCAACTTTCACCCTGGCTAAATACATAGGTGTGTGAACTGTCAACAGGGCGACACAACGCTGGGGTTCTGTGGAGGCTTGTTTTGAACGTGACGCTGTATTTTATAATGGCAAAACTGAGCGGTCACACTTCTTTTTTCTTCTTCATGGCTTCATGTATTTTCGGTGTAATTAGGAACCAGATAAGGAATTTTTCAGTAGGGGAAGTTCATAACTTCCTGGTACAAGGCAGCTTTTGTAGTTGGCTTTTTTTTTGCCTCTCTTTTGGTTGCTGTTCTGTAATGTTACGCTGGTAAAGAGGAAGTTCAGGAGCAGTTTGTCTCTGTTGGAGCAACAGAAACTGCAGATTCTGGGTAGATCAGGGCTTTCTAAAACAAAGATGTTTACGCTTCCGGTTACTTTAGATGGAGCTGGAATGTGCTGTAACAAATCGTGCCCTATCCTCTCGTTTTAGCCTGGGGTGCTGCAGAAGGTTGTAAGCACGTAGATTGTCTGATCTTGCTGTTCAGACAGGGCTGTTGCTGTGGGGAGGAGGCAGAGTCACCGGTGACCCACACAGCAGCGACAGCAGAGCTGAAGGGCAGTGCTGCTCCCATCTGGGTGTCGGGTTGTGAGGTTTCGGGTTATACTTTCACATCTTCCACAAAGAGCCACAGCTCCGTCGCTTTCACACACACTGATGTCGCTGGAGTCTGCTCACAGGAACTCCTGGATGTGTGAGAGGACTACGTAACCTTATCTAGGTGTTCCTGCTCCGGCAGGGGGATTGGACTAGATGATCTTTTGAGGTCCCTTCCAATCTCTAACATACTGTGATACTGTGATACACACTGTGTAGTTACTCCAGAGCCTGCTTCCTTTGAGCAAAGGAACCAAACGGAGCATCCCAACCCTTGATCCCACTGGTGCTCTGCTTGGCACCTCCTCCCTCGTGCACAGGCGGTGTTAAACATTAACCCAGCCTGGGTTTCTCAGCATGGAGAGGTCTGATGGAGTGTTCTTTGGAGGCTTTGGGATTGTCCTTTTGTTCCTTTTTGTGTTGCTCAAAACAGATAAGAAGAAAACAGCCTTTGGCTCTTCAATGAGCATAAGCCGGTGAACTCTTGGAGCTGTTCCTGCTTTTACTCATCCTCTTTGTGTATCTAATTGCAACAATAGTCTCCTATATGCTCTTAAATTATCTAGTGTAGTTGTATTTTATGCAGTGTAGTGTTTAGCACTCAGGGCACAGAGGGAATAAACAGTTTTATAACAAACAGAACAAGAGGCAGGTTGTAATATGTATAATGTAATATGTATAAACAGTGTGTCTGTTGCTAGCGTGTGTGTAGGCAATTATCATTAATTACGAATGCAAAATGAGCTCTTAAGCACTTAGCTGAAGGATTAGCTGGGTTTCTGCTTTTCTTCATTTCGGATGCATCTTTGAGTAGTTGTGGGCAGGGGGGTGCTATGTGTGGCTGCGCAGTTCTCTCCTAGAGATAGCAGAAGAGAGTTTGTTCTTTGCCATCGCTCATCTTTGACAGGCACAGCACGACCTGAAGAGGACAGGTCTTTAGCAACCGTGTGGGAACTGAGAGCTGTGTGTGTGAGGAGAGATTGTGACATAGTTAAGCCATGCCACTTCACAGGCGCACTGCTGGTTTACAGAAATAGGGAACCCTGAGCAACCCTCCGTTTGCTGCAGAGCGCTGATAGTACCTTCGGTTCACACAAACCCTTTTGTGTGTTTCCTCTCCACACAAAACACGATGACACCGATAGTCTCAATAGAGATGATAGCGTGATTCTTAAATAGAGCCAAGGTAACCCCAAGTTTAATGTTTAATCTCTGGAGGCTACCGCGTCACTGAGCTTTACTTTCCCACAAGCACACCTGCAGTTAAGCAGTGGGTTTGCCTTCAATGCCGTTTGTTTCAACCACAGCCCCATAAAGATCACTGAGCCCAGGGTTTTAACTTAATAGGTGAGAGAAAAAAAGCCCTCTATAAGGCATTAGTAGAGCGTGAAGGGAAATTATTGTTTCAAGCAGAGAGAGTTAAAGACTCGAGGTGGTTGCGTTCTGTAGTAGTTTCGAACGGCGAGGCTGGTTTTGACAGAGAGGTGATGTACGTGGGTGTCCTGTGCGTCTGGTTAGCAGCTATGTGAGCGTGAGCATCTCCCGAGCAGGATGATTAGTAGGCACTTTGCTGCAATTTTGTCATTATGCCTTCCAAAGTAGATTTTTAATTTAGTGTATGGGTTTGTGCCTGTGTTTGTGACGTACGGCGTTAGGTAGGAATGGGAAGGAGGGATTCTTCTCTCTCCTCGGCTGCCTGCTGGCAATGGGAAGTTGATGCACAACAGTCACCCCTCACTGCTGGCAGAGCTCCTCTGTTTGGGCCACTGGGCTGTGCTGATAAATACAATAGTAGACGTAAATCTAAGTGTTAAATAGCCATACACTGGTGGATGGGCTTGGTTTCATGAGAAGCTCTGGTTTCTACTCTCTTGTTGAAACCAGCTTTATGTCATTTCTAGGCTTAGTTTTTGTTACCAGTGCCTGTTCCCCTTTCCCCTTTTGTTGGACTTGCTTATTTTCCAGGAAGAGGAAATATGCAAAGCTTATCTGAAGGAGGGTTAGGTAATGTCTGGGAAATGTCTAGGAAAGGGACCATCCTTGTAAGTAAACCTAGAGCAATGGCTAAGGTGTATTTAAGGTGATGGGAGGTGATCGGTTTAGATACTACAATTTGACAAATTGCTGGAGAGGGATACAGAGCCCTAAACCATGGTTCTCAAGTGTTTGCCACCAAACACAGCCTGGAGTTGAAGTGCATTGTGCCTTTTTAAAAGGCATTCAGGTTTTGAAAAGGCATGTGGTGTTAAGGCAATTCCAGCATAAGAGCTGCTTTCACATGCTGCCTTCCCACAGCCGTAGGCAGGTATGTTACACTTGAAGCGTGCATTCAAGTTGGACCCAGGTGATGTCCTGGAGATGTAGTTCTTTCCATCCCTTCTCTGCTAATTACTTTATCTTTTAGGGGGTAGTGCTTCCCTACTTTGAGTATGAACTGCTGCAGCACTGGAAATGTTTTGCAATCAACAAATCCCAGGCTTTGTGTTGGCACGTATACCTAAACCATTGGAGGTGCAACAGAAGAGAAGCTTAACTCCATAAACCTCCATAATAAGTGGAGTTAAGATTGGATTCCATCTCTTTGCCAAAGCTCATATGCTGTGGACTCATAGCCCATACAGACCTTGGGCAAAAGGAAGTAGGGGATCTTTCACCCTTTTAGCACTTCCAATATATTTAATAACTATTTTGCTTATTATGTTGAAGTCCAAGCACTTTTTCTCAGTGCTTTCCCACAGCATGTTGCCTGTCATGTTTGTTTGTGATGCTCAACCTGGCTTGAGTAGGATGCTATTATATGAAGATGACAGAGAACTCAGTAGATATTTCCATAAGCTACGTTCTTCTGATCGTGCAGCACCACGATGATTCAACATCTACAATATTTACTTACCCTCTGTTGTTTGTTTTTCACATGCCATCCCACTGTTGTCACTGTTTGATTGACTATCCTGTTTGATGTTCTCAGCGAGATATATTTAATAGCTTGTTACTGTCTGGCAATAAAACATCATCTGGCCAAGTTAATGTCTTTCTAGCCCCTCCTTGTTTAAGAGGTCAGTTGTTTCTTATTCTTGGTTATCACTTGTGTTTCCTGAAAACCTCTCTTTGACAACTGCCCAATAGCTTTTACTGAGGTTTTGCTGTCTAGGGAGGTAACTGGAACTAGAAGTTAGCCCTGTGGGAGGCGACCAGCTCAGGATGCAGAGTTCAGTATCAGCAATGAGGTATTTCCTGAGCTCACAGTGATGGTTTTCAACCCACAGGTTTGGGTTGTTTTGGTTTGTTTTGCATAATTTGCACAGTTTCTGCTTCACTATAATAGGAACTAAATCAATGAATTCAACATCTTCACTTGCAGAGCAGATTTAAGAGAACATAGTTCTTTTCTTTGAGACTACCTGTGCTTTGAGAGGACAGCCAGTCCTAAAAGTGTATTATAATTAAAAATACCAACTATTCCCTCAAACTACAGATTGCTTTTCTGTTGTAGACAATCTTCTTTCATCACACATATTCTCTAATAGCTAAAAGAAGCTAAGTTCTAGGCGAGATGGGAGAGTGGCAGTTTGCTAATTACTTACAAGGCAGGGATACCTGGAGGCTTCATTTAAATCTGTTCTCTCCCTTTGCTCCCCACCTTCAGTGTGTGCATGTACCTGAATAGAAGAGCAGATTGTCTGAGAGCATAGACCCAGGGGAAAGATGGTAATGTCAGTAATTCCTCTCTCTTCTGCTGCCTTTTAAGCTCTAGTGTATACTAACATTGAAAATGTTTTGGTTTTCAGGTGGCCCTGAGCCCTACATTGAAATTTTCGAGCAACCCAGGCAAAGGGGCATGCGTTTCAGATACAAATGTGAGGGGAGATCAGCAGGCAGCATTCCAGGAGAGCACAGTACTGATAACAACAAGACCTTCCCTTCCATACAGGTAAATACCGCTTTTATCTATGAGCTACGCGACCCTGGTGCTGTGGCTGTGTGTTGGTCTCGGTGCAGTCAATAGTTCTAATTTCATGGGCTGTCCCTATTTCCTTGGCATGCAGATGTAGTTGCAACAGGGTGGAAAAAGAGTCATTAAAAGCTTTTGTTTCAGATTTACACAGAGAGGAGAATGTGTAGAGGTAGCTTACAAAGTGCTGGTAGAGAGGGAACACTTGGTGAAGTGACTTGGTGAAGTTACTCACTGTCTGGGAACCCTTCATTATTAGCGTTTGCTGTCTGTGCGCTTGGGTTTCTTAGTTATGTGACTTGGGTATGAATTTTGGGAGAGCTTTGAAGGAGTTTGCGTTCCAAGTTTAAGAAGGCTTTGAAAAGCTGCTGGGCAGAACATGAAAGGAGGCACTTTGTATAGGTTGAGCAAAGAAAGAAGTGACTTGGAGCCAGTGATTCGGTGATCAGGCTCTGCAGAAGAAAGTACCACGAAGGATATGGAGTTAGAAAGAGGATAGAGAGTTTTAAAATGAGCTAAGAAGGAGAATTACGTGGTCAGAGCATCTGCAATGAAGACGAGTAGGGTGATTGCATTATGGAGAGGTTGGGAAATCCAGAATGAAGGGATTCAGAGTAGCCCTAGCAGCTATGATCAAAGCAGAGACCAAGGTACAGGCAGTAAAGGTGGAATAGAAGCAATCTGGCGGTAGCTTTTGTATGTGGGGCAAAGGAATGTGTCAGAGACCCTAGAGAAGTAGGGTAAGGGAGAAGAATTTCTGGTTACCTCTTTGAAGTTTAAGTTGGTGTTTCCTTGATCTCTTTCAGTTTGGAGAAAGTCTGTCAGGGACGAGATTACAAGAGATAGCCCAAATATAAATGGGAAGTGAAGAGAGCTTGCCGTCAGGAAGTATGTGACAGTGCCCAGGAATAGAAGCTGTGTATCTGTTTGCAGTGCCTGCAAGTAGAATAAAAAGTAGAGCCAAAAGATGGAGTCTCTGGAATCACAGCAAAAAAACCCCAGATAGAGAGGATGTGAAATCTGGAAAATAGGAGGTGTTTTAGGCTGAGTCATAGAGGTTATTTAAGAAAAGGGAGAGTTTGGGAAAGATCGTATTGGCAGTTGTGTTGAGCTTCTGCTACATAAAGCAACTATGGACGCTGCTCCAGGCCTGAACCCAGAATTATGAAGGGAAGGAAGCAAACAAGAAGGTCCTCCCCTTGACTACCACAGTGCCAGATTTGCTTATGGAATGCAGGAAATGGAGATCTTGCCAGACTCTTTCTTTTTCAGCACTCTACCACTTGATCTACGCAGTCTGCTGGCAAGAGTAGATGCTTTCAAAGACTCAGCCTAAAGCGTTGTCAGGGCACAAGTTGAATGGGCAAGATAAGTCCTTAATTCCTCTTAGTGTGGACTGGGCTGCACATGAAGGTCAGCCTGATCCCAAAGGGAAGATGGGACAGGGGTAGGTGGCCATGCAGTCCTGGCAGAGGTGACTGTTGATGCCAGAGCTGATTGTTACCAATAGCAGGTGATTTCTAGGTGAATTCCTGCCTCCCTGAAGCCCGTAGGAGGCTTTAGTGCTGATAAGTTGCTAGGGGAGTCCCCTCTAGAGATGGAAACATCAATGAGGATGAGAACAGAGAGGCCAGGAAGAGATTAAATTTCGTGGTGTGGTTATGATGAACATCATCAGGGAGGAACTGGGGAATCAGAAGTGGTCAGATCAGGCTTCAGATTCAAGGGACTGGGTGTGAAATGAGAGAGAAATGATGTAATAGTTGAGGAAGGTGAAGGAGTGATGGAAGTTTGATTTTAAAGATGAAGAGTAATGATGGCTTGTATGAAGGCCAAGAAAGGAGCCACACTGGAGACTGAAGAAGCTAACACAATGGAAGCTAGAAGAGCACAGGTCAAGTGAAAAGTTTGAGATGTTGGCTGGAAAGGATATATGGTGGATCCTTGGAGGAGGAAAGAAAGGGCTCAATGAGGAGAGGAACACTTAGTTACAGGGCAGGGGAAGTGCAGGAGGAGAGCTCACCTCTGCACAAACGTGTGCCTGAGCAAGTCTTGCATGTGTTTTCAATTGTTAAGCTTCAAACAAGTCAGGCCAAACTGTTTTTCTTTTCTTGTTTTTTTTCATTTACCCACACAACCCTTGGTGACTTCACTGGTAGCTGTCAGCGTGAGGAAAGACTTTTATGCACCTGAGAAACATGCATTGAATTAGGTTGATGACTGCTGTGAAGGCTCTAGTAGGAGCTTGAGAATTCAGTGCCCTCCTTCTTGAATAGGGGGTTGAATATCCAACTGAGAACTGATTAAAACCCCAGCCTTCACAGGGGGTTATGTCTGCTATATCTGTTAAGATCCTCTTTCAATCTTTAGTGTTCCATGCACAGGTAATATCCATATCCCTGAGGCTTTAGGAGTGTTTTCATAAGGTCTTTGGAGCTATACCTGCCATGGAATCATAGAACGGTTTGGGTTGGAAGGGCTCTTAAAGCTCATCCAGTTCAACAGCCTGCCACAGGCAGGGACACCTTCCACTAAACCAGGTTGCTTCATGCCTCATCCTTCAGAAAGCATTTGTATGTGGTTGCCTATGTTGAATGTTGTGTCCTTCATTGCAAGGCTAGATATGATAATGAAATATGTCCCTGTATGTGGGGACTTCACTAGTCCTGATGTCTATAATCTAGAAAACATCTCAATTTTCTTGCAGATTCTGAACTACTTTGGAAAAGTCAAAATAAGAACTACGTTGGTAACGAAGAATGAACCCTACAAGCCTCACCCTCATGACCTGGTTGGGAAAGACTGCAGAGATGGCTACTATGAAGCAGAGTTTGGACCAGAGCGGCGAGTCCTGTCGTGAGTAGTGATGTTACTTGGGAGTTCGATTAACTGTGCTAATCTTGCGTTTTAAACCTCTGACCAGTGAGTAAAAGAGCTGTTGGAATGCTGTTTCTGCTGAAGTTTATTAATCCATCTTGGAGAGAGGGCAGCCCCTCTTTGAAGTATTTACTTCCTTTTCAGTTCTTCTCTTTTGTCCTGTTCTTTTCCTCACACCCTTTCCTTTGTCCATTCTCCCAATGCCTGTCTCCTTTCCCTTTCTCCCACTTACTTGCTTTTGTATTCTTCTTCAGTAACACTTATTACTCTTGGGCCTGATTCTTTCCTACGTGTGAAAATGATGAGTAATAGAATAGGTAACAGCAGCATTAGAATTAGTACTTCACGGGGATTAGGGAAGTTCCCATCTTCCCTGGGAATTACACTTGGACTCTGGAAACTGGTGGAGAAAGTTTGTACTGGCTGATTATCATGTCATTTAGAAGATAATGGCTGTGACACATCTAGGAACGTGTTAGTAGCTCTCACTGTTGTTGCTGGTTGGGTTGGGGTTTTCTTGGAGTGAAAGTACAGATTGTGCTCAGGCTGGGCTCTGGAGGGCAAGCAGGGAAGAGAAGGAGGATTCAGGCTGTGTATGAGATGTGCTTCTCAGGGCTATTCAGAGGGGCATTAAGAACACCTAAAATCCAGTTGTATTTGAATGGCGTTTCCCATCAGTATTCCAAGTCTCATGTAATATAGTGAAAGCAGAGGAAACTGCAACAAATACTGAGTGATTTTTGCCTGAGAGGGGAACTGAGACTTGGCAACCTGTTTGTGGTTCCCAGTTTGTGATGCAGTAAACCTGGAAGTAGGCTATTGCTCTGGGGGAAAGGTAACTGAGCTGGAAAGAAAACGAGGTAAATGTTTCAGTGTGTAAGTAGCTCTTACGCCCTGCTCTCAGGCTGATGTGATTCTGTTGATGTTAGTGAAATTACTCTGCATTTATGTGGGTTTAGTCAGTGGAACACTTATTAAAGGACTGAAGGCACACTCTGTTTGAAGATGATGATTGCCTGATGGTGAAATAAATAGTTGTAGTAGTGGAGATGCTTCTTCAACGTACAGCCCAGGCTCAAGTGATCATGGATGTGCTGTCATGTATTCAGGTGACATGTAGCACGTTGACTGTACTATCTCTTGCTGTTACAGATGCTAACAGTTTTATTACTTTACTGTTTTTAGCTCAGTTCACAGTGTTATCCTGCTTGGCAAACGGTAGGAAAGGATTAGTAAATGTAATTCCAGTTACTTTTCCCTTACTGGTACACCTCTCTAGAAAGGTAGGGCTGTCCCTTCAGGCACCACCTTGATTGTTGCAACCTCATCCTCATCGGCTTCCCCGCAAATAGAGCTTCCCTTAACCTTGTCTAAAAGGCAGTTGTGAATATCTCAAGCTGTCAATGGACCTTGCGCCTTCCTCTGGCCATCCATTCACCAGCTTCTCCTTTCTCTTCTCTCAAATCAAGCTTCCTCACCCAAAGTCAAAGGATGTCTGTGTCCTGGCCCATCCCATTTCCTGCTCTCAGCTCTGGGCCTTCTAATCTGAAGCAGAAAAGCCTGATTGCTCAACGCCTTGTCTGGTTACGTTACGTTCACCGGATACAGGAAGACACTGATTGTTTTTCCTCTTGACGTTCTGTTGCACAAGGCCGAGTGTGGAAGGATGAGGCAAGCCTGTAGAGAAGCTCCAATGCCAAAATGTGCAGGGATGCTCTGCAAAGACTTTACCTGCAAATACTGGTTTCATTTCGTGGTACATCAGATCGTGTTCTTTGACATAATGCTGTGGCTCATCAGTTAAGACCCTTGTGATTGTTTGCTGTATCCATGAATCCTTCTCAATATCCTTAGGTTATAAACCTCTTGGTTTCCTACAAAACAGTGAGTGGTCTACATTCCCCTTATTGATAATGTGAAGCTGTAAGCTTCCACTGAGCTTGACATTGATGGGAGGAGGCTCGAAACATTCTCTTTGAAATGTTTCCAGCATCGGTACACTCATTTTTAACAAATCATTGGTTGCTTTGAGATGAAAGACCAGTGTGATCCGTAATTGGATCTGGATGTTTAAAGTCATTTTCCTTTTTGTGGCTGGTGACTCAGTCTTCACATTCTTCTCTTCGAGTCCACGTTGGAGAAAAGCTTCATACAATACTAGTGAGCAGGAGGTGTCGTCTCTTGGTAGTGATTCTGGCTGTTTGCTCTTGCTGAGCATCCCAAGTGGAGCAAGACTCCAATTTATTACTTGTTTTTTGAGGTTTTTTTCCTGCAGAAGAGGAATTATTAATCCCAGATTTGGGGCTGCTCTGAGTAACGACTCTGCTTCCTGCTTGCTCAAAGTTCCCCCTGTAGTTCTGGTTGAACAAAGTGTTTTGTTCTGCATGTGGCGTGATGATCTTTGTACTGCTGCCCAAACTCAACCAGAGCCCTCCCTGGCCAAAACATCAAGCCAAAATCATGGCTGTTGGAGCATGTGTGACTTCCTGTATACTCACATTCTTCCTTCCTAGGTTGCTGTCCCTCTGCATGGATGATATCATAGGTTTATCTTAAGTGTTTGTCATGTTTCTTCTCTCTTCCTACTTCTCCCTCTCTTCTCGTTATCTCGCTTGCTTCCTGTCAGCCAGGGCTATGTGAAACCCCGCAGCCGTGCTGAGCTTCTTGACAGTTCCTCCTCTGATCCAGCCCTCTGTACTGATGGCTCAATAGACGCTTTCGCTGTGACAGCACGTGGTGGAGGAATCATTTATAACCTGAGAATGCTGGGGCCTGGCTGTTGCTCAGGAGAGGCTTGGTTCAGTGGTTAAATGATGCAGGGTGATGGCTCTTAGGTCTGTTTTAGCTGGGTAGGGCTTTTGTTCAGGGTCAGTTCGTGCATGTGCTTGCTTGATATCTGTAATTTATGGTGGATGGCTGGCACTGGGGATGTGATAGGGAGCTAAGCCTGTTCGTAGCCTTGATGTGTGCTTCAGACTGAATCTACGGAATACAGTGGGTATTCTGGGGGAGAAAAGGTAATAGGTGCTGTCACCAAGGATGAGAAAAAGTAAAATGTGCTGTGACCAAGCCCTAAAATATTACTGTCCACAAGGGGAGACAGAAATAGGATTGTTCCTCAAGGTACAGTACAGATCTTGCATGTCAGTAGCCACAATATAAAACCAAAGTGCTATGAGATGCTCCTGCGTTTTATTCTCCTCCGGGTTATCCTGTTGGGTTTCAAAGGGAAGCTTACACATTCCACTAGTGAATGAAGGATCTGGAAGTGGAGCCTGAATGCAGAGGATTTGGGAACCTCTGGACAGAGTGGACTTGGCACAGGGAAGGGAGTTTAAGGGAACTAAACTTAAAATCATGCTAGGATAGTCTTGTTCAGAGCAGAGAAGTGTAAAACTGTTCTTGAGAATGTTGGCAGGGGCAAGCGGTATGTTTAGATGCATAAAGAAGTATCTTTAGGTGCATTAAGGAGTGCCTTTAGGTGCATTAAAGTGTTTTTTCAGGCATTTAGGCTTAGCAAAGAGCTGTTGTGGAGTTTCAAAGGAACGGAAATAGCTGGTGCTTGGGTAAGGCTGCCTGCCGGCGCGCCCGTCCTCTGCGCTCACTGTAACCCCATGCAACACAGCCATCTCTTTTCATTTTTTCTTACTTCCTGCTTTACATCCACTCGGCTTTGATGATGTCATGGTTTTTCCATGTGGGAACAAGAGCTCGCCTGGGACTCCCCCCACCTCCTGCATCGGGGTGACCTGCGCTCATATGCAAATCAGGAAGAGCTGCAGCTCCTCAGAACTTTTCCATAACTGTGCCAGGTTTAGAGACCTGTTTTGACTTGTTTCAAAAAAACCCCTTTAAAACAGCCTTTGAAATTTACATTCCCTGGTACAAAAGCAGGAGAGAGAAAATCCTGAACTAATGCAAATCAGTGCGTTTATTGATAACAAAAGTAATTGCCGCTATAAATTACACGAGATCCCGTATTTAACTGTGTAATCTCTGTAGGTGTACTGCAGAGTATCACTTTTGATACAGTAATGTACAGTCTTAAGAATATATATTTAGGTATTTTTATATAGATTTAATAAAGAATATATATCTAGAATTATAATGTAGTATTTTTCACTGCTATTCCCGCATCATCCAGCTCTTACACCCTTCTCTCAATTAAGCTTTTTCCCCACTTCTCACACCATGAGACCGCACAGTGGTAATCTTCATTGTGGAATAGTTTGATGTTGCAAATAACTCTTGTATTAACGATCATTAACTCTGTGAAGGTTTCATTAGTTGCTGAAACGCTGCCGCATGTGCTTCAGTTTTCAGAATCTGGGCATTCAGTGTGTGAAGAAGAAAGACCTGAAGGAATCAATCTCTCTACGGATCTCCAAGAAGATCAACCCTTTCAATGGTGAGTGGACATCAGCTGGGTCACTGTGAGGCTGGTGGGGCTCTGCTTGTCCTGCCCTTGCTTTTGTGGTGCAGCTTTTATCTTTTCCAGAACGGGGAGAAAATGGTCTGCCCTTCCTGTGTCCTTCCCACGCTTCCCGCATTGTCATAACGTGGTGAATCTCTTTGGATAGTTGCTCTTCTCTTTATCCCCAGCAGCAATGTGAGTTGCTGCTTGGACAGCAGCAATGGGATAGCAGCAGAAACCTTCCCTGGAAACTTCCACACGTGTCTCGGGAATCAGATCTCCCCAGTTTGGGCAGCTCTGAGATTGAAAGACTGAATTAGCATCGCTTGTGCAACAGCTTAAACCAGTCCCATCTCTTCTGTTGTTTGAACACTGGTGTTTGTGAGCCCTCAGCCAGGCACTTCAGGAGCTCATAGACTCCTCGAAGCTGCTCCTCACTTGATTTTAGAGCACAGGAGCTGGTAGAAGCACTCAGGAGCTCCATGGTAGTATTGGTCTTGAGCAAGTCTGAGGCAGATTGTGCTGCTACAGAGCCACACCGGTAAGGCTCTACCCACTGTAGCTGTACATGATGGCTGATCTGTGGGCTGCTCTCAACGAGTCACCCTGCTCTTCCCTCCATCCCTGCTCACACACTCCTACTACTTTCCTCACACCTTGCACTGTGAGGCTACATGGACTCAGCAACTTGCTCCAGTGGAAACCAGCTCACAAAGAGTGGTTTCCCCTCAGATCAACTTGTTGAACCAATTCATCCCACAGCCTTAGAATTGCAAAGTTCAATGCAGAGGTGGGGTGGGGAGCACACAGGCTCAACTGGGAGGAATTGGATGTCAAGCATAAATACCCCCAAACTATTAGCTAAGGCAGTTGGGTATTTGCTTAAGCGTGCAGGAACTTGAAGATCTTCCAAATGCTTTTTAATACTCACAGATGTCTTGCTGAATGCAGGTAAGACCCTTCTTAGAGAGTTGGGAGCTGGATTTCTGGCTTGCTTCAGAACACATAGAATCATAGAATAGTTAGGGTTGGAAAGGACCTTAAGATCATCAAGTTGTCCCTGAATTGGGTTGAAAAGAAGCCTGGTGAAGTTATTACAGAGTGAGAAATGTTGTGGGTGTTTTCTTCATTGTAGAACAGCCTTTTGGAGTCAGGCTGATGGTGCTGATGGTTCGTCCATACAATAATCCTTGGTTTGATATTGTGTGCACAAAACAGCATCTGTAAAAACCCATTGTTACATGGGTTCAGTCATCGGCAGAACTAAAACAGTTGGAGGGTTTGAATTGTGTTAACCTTGAGTCAGCGCTACCTTGATTTCAGACAGAAAAGGGGAATTCTTCTCTTCAGCCCTCCTGGCTTTCTTTTTCTCCATAAGTAAAACATGCACTGACATTTTCTCTTGATGTTGTGCAGCAAACAAACCTTTTGTGTGCTTGTATTTCACCAAAGACACTTTAGCCGCCCCATAGCTCACTCTGTTCCTAGCACTGCTGAGTGTGATAGTGAGGAAACACTTCACTACAGCCTTCTGAGAGGAGATTTTCACAGTGTTGGCACATAACTCCCAATGCACTGATCATTATGGGGCTGCTACAGGCACCAGGGCAGAGCCGGGGCTGCTTCCCACCAGCCCAGCAGTGGAGGAGACCACAGCCCTGCCCTGGCAGCAGGGAGAGCCTCGCATGGGTGACACACAGGGCAGCTCCCTGCTCTTGGCAGGGGTTGTGCTGGGAAGGGGCCGCTGGCAATCCCCAGCCTATGGAATTGCCTTTCGGCATTGCTAACGTGTCAGCACAAAGCAGAGCTGCTTGGGAATAGCCTCCAGGGCAGTCCCACACAAAGCAGAGCCCAGAAAGGCCAAGGACCGAGGTCTAATAAAACAGGATTGGTGACAGGAGCATAGGTGTACTTAATTGATCAGAGCAGGGTTTCATTAGCAGCAGTCACTGTGATGTTCACTGCTTGATAAGATTGAAAGCTTTACGTACGGCTTTAATTTGTTTTTTAAGGTCAGGAGAATATCATTGCGTTCTCCAGGCTGTGTTGTGTCCATCCTGCATTGTGCTTTATTCGTGTGTCTTCAGAAAGGCATCTGGAGATACATGTCAGAGTTAGGTGCATCCTCGAAGCAGGTCGCAAGTTGGTGTTACTCATTTCTTGCATAAGCATCATAAAAGGAATTTCATGGAGCTCAAAAGCAGCCTTCGGGGTGTTTTTGTGTTGGTTGTCTTTGCTTTTTCTTTCCCACCTTCTAGAATAAGCAGTCCCTGTCCTGAGCCTTCTTTCAGGGCAGAGGTTCAGTGCTGACCCTATTAACAGATGCAGAATGCCTCCAGCCTGCCAGCGTGGGTATTACTTGTCAGTGAGGGATGAAGGAAGAGCAAGGTGTGGGTCCACAAAGTTGTGTTCCTTGTGAAAGGGGCTCTCATCTTCCAGGGAAGCCCAGGTGCCAAAGACAAGTGGGGTGCAAAGGGAGAGTGAGCCTTAACACAAAAGGGTGGTGTCATCCTTTCGAGTATACAGTATGGACATGCACTGAATAAGGGTCGTCATCAGCAACAGTAGGAAGTTGCTTGGTCAGGATGTGTGGGCTTTAAGATCATGTTCTCCAGCCGTCTTGCCTATGCTATTGACACAGCTGATACCTACTTGTGAACCCCTGGGCGATCAGGAGTTGGTGTTTGCAAACTGTGCTGTGTCCCTTGCTGGAGCTGTCTGATCAGAGTCGTGCTGCAGCCATACCTGTAAGGCTGTTCCACAGTGAATTCTCCATAAGAGTTGGTAGCTCTTGTCCCTTAAGTCCAGTGTAGGCTTTACAGAGTGTGTGAATTCAGTAGGACGCAGGTGGGATGATGTGGACTCAGGTTGACCCTCTGGGGTTAGCCGTGTTTAAGAGAGAGAGCTGCTGTTCCACACCATCGCTGGGCGGGGTTGTGATCTGTTGTGTTCACAAAGTACATCCATATGTATCCATCTATCTACCATCCATATATACATCCATATATTTTTGTCCTTTCATAAGCTGACCAGTTCTAGAACTCTTGCTTGCCTCTCATTCCTGAGCACGCCATGGAGATGGTGCACAGTAACTAGGACTCCTTGTCATGATGATGATGATATAAATAGCATCGAAGGAGCAGAGTTACTCCTCCAGTGGAGCTGGTCCACGTCTGCTTTCTACGGTGTTTGTTTTCTTTTGAGTAGCTGTTGAGTTGTGCCCTATCCCCGTCTCCCCGTGCACTGTCTGATGTACAGCCAACTCCAATTAGAAGAGCCAGTTCTCAGTTAAGAGCTTTTGTGGGTGGGTGTGACTTGACAGAGAGACAACAATTGACTTAATAACAACCCGAGTTAATTATCAATGAGGAAAAGCCCTGAGAGTGTCCTTTAAATTTTGGGGGCAAACTGTATTTAGCAATGATTGAGGACCAACCTTTTCCTAGGGAAACGGGCTCCCAAGAGTTGGAGAAACTGCCATATTTCAGGTGTTGGATCAGGAGGGGGTAAATAACCCTGCCCATGGCAAGGGCTTGGAACTGGATGAGCTCTAAGGCCCCTTCCAACCCAACCCATTGTAGGAGGTCGGCTTTCCCTGGAGCTCGGTGCCCGTTCCCGTGCCTGCGCCGCTGCTGACGAGCACCGCGCGCTGTTTCCAGCTGCCTCCGCAGCCCTTCCTTCCCCGCTTCCCCTTTCCGCCCGCCGGCAGCTGACCCGCGGGGGCTTTGTGCTCGTCACCGTCTCCACAACACCCCCGGCACCGCCTCCGCCGGGCTCAGCCCCACGCTCGCTTCCTGCGCTCACCGCAGCAGCAGCAGCAGCAGCAGCAGCTTCCCTTGCTCCTAAAGCAGCCCCTGTGCTCTGACAGCAGTCGCCCGCATTGGGGACGTTCACCGGGGCCACTTGTTCTGCAGGGAATGGCTCAGATCATGGAACCAGCTGGGTTGGGACAGACCTTCAAGATCATCCAGTCCAACCATCCCCCAGCACTGCCAAGGTCACCAGTAACCCATGGCACTGAGGCCTCATCTACACCAGGGACGGAGACTGCAGCCCTGCCCTGGGCAGCCTGTTCCAATGCCTGAGCACCCTCTGGGGCAGGAATTGTTCCTCAGCTCCATCTAAACCTGCCCTGGTGCAGCTTGAGGCCGTTTCCTCTTGTCCCATCCCTTGTTCCTTGGGAGCAGAGCCCAGCCCCTCCTGGCTCCATCCTCCTGTCAGGCAGTTGTAGGGATGTTATGAGAAACCTTAAACTTCCGTCCTTAAATTAAACCAATTTGTAACCTCCCACCTAAATTCCCAAGGTGAAAATCTTGGGAAGAGTGAGTTGCTTTTGAAGAGGCACGGAACAAATCCGCTCGGAAAGCTGAATGTCCTGATCCTAATGCAACGTTAGCTTCTACCTTTGGAAGAGCCCTTTGTTATCTCGTTCCTTGTGCAAATGCTTCCTGCTGTTTGTGCTGAAAGGTGTGCAGTAAGTTAAGAATGAGAATTACCAAGTGAGACACAAAAACCCCTGACATGTGGTGTTTTTACTATGAACAGGATCTACTGAGCGATGTGGTACAGATCTCTGGAGGCTGATGTACATACTTGCTTAAATCTGTCCCAGTTTTACCTTTTTCAGGTTGAATTTCAAACAGGAAAAGAGCCCAGGTTCACAAAAACATTGTCTAGACAGAGCCAGGACTGAGGTTTGCAAGTGGTCATTTGTATTCCCAGTTCGTGGCCTTTACATGAGGCCAGGCCCTCCACGTTCCATGTGTTTCTTCTGTAAGACAAGGGAACGTGTCCACAGCAGTTCAGGTTTTCGTTGACTGTAGGTTAACATCTGGATTTCACTCATCTGCACCAATAACAAGGCTCTTGCTTTATTTAAACCACTGAGCACTGCTGACACACGTTGTGTTTATGGGTACGGGCAAAGGTTTCTCTTTCCTGCAGAATTAATTGAGACTTATCTCTTCATGCATCACAGAGGCATAAACCCGGCA